AAAATTGATATGTAATACTGAACTTCTTGATTTTAGTAGAAAATAAAGCTGAAAATGGTAGAACACCATAGATATTTTTTTTAAGACTGGACATTAAAGCAGAGAATAGTAAAATTTTGTGGCAAGAGAATGTAAAATGAAAAATTAATCAGATTTCCAAAAAAAGAGATGAGAAAAGCACAATTACAAATAATTCCAAAGAGGAAAAATAGAGAGCAGCAAAAGCTAATGTGATTACAGTGTAAAAAAGGCTTAGAGCTCTGAAAGCAAAAAAACAAAAAAGAACCCCTATAGGAGTCAGAAAGAGGGAGAGGTTACCAGGAAGAGTACATAAAGGTAGTATGGAACTGTACAAACAGTATCAAGAAAAAAGCTATGGAGAGATACAGAAAGAAAGAAAATACCTGGGCATTAGAAGAAAAGACCAAAAGGGAAATGGTAGTAAATCGCCATATACCAGTGATGGCGAACCTTTTAGAGACCAAGTGCCCAAAAACTGGCTCCATCCCCATTCTACCCCTTGCCCCGCTCCTGCTCCACCCCATTCCATCCCCTGCCCCGCCTGCCCGAAGGGCCACTCACTACCTCCAGGGCCCGCCGCAGATCGCCAGGCAGCCCAGAAGCGCCATGGCAGCCACACCCTCTGCCCGCGCCCTGCAGCATCAACTGTGCATGATGGGGCGTGACAGCAGTCTTGTCTATGCTGCCTGGCTGCCATGTCCTTGGCTGCGCTGCTTCGCATTGGCCACACTCAGGGGTGACTCTCCTCCAGGAGGCTGCTGGTGAGGAGGGGGTCACAGGGGAGGCGAGGCTGGGGCAACGGCATGTGTGCCCACAGAGAGGGCTCCAAGTGCCATGTGCCAGAGGTTCGCCACCACTGCCATATACCTATTCTCTCTCATTTCAAAGTGTAGGGCAAGGGTCTTCAAACTTGGCTCTTTTATGACTTATGGACTTCAACTCCCAGAATTCCTCAGCCAGGCAAGTTTGAAGATCCCTGGTGTAGGGGATGGATCAATAGATTTGTTTCAGAAAGGCAGATTCTGGTCAGATGCTAGTTTTTGGTTTTTTTAAAAAAAAACAATACTGAGGGAGCTTTAAAAGAAGGAAGATAGATATCTCATCAAATCCTCTCTGTTAACTTGGGCTAGAATCAGTCCTCACTAGTCTCTGCCAAGGATTCTGAAACACACTCGACAGTAAAACTACCCAGTCTGCCACAACAGTAGTGAAGTCAAACTGAGTATCAAAAGGTGGGGAAATGCTGAATATGGAAGAGCACCTCGTGAATAAAAAGTGTTGCACCTGAGAATAGCTCAATGCACTCTTATCAGAAGATTTGCAGTCGCATTAGGCTTAAAGAGGACAAGTTATGTTAGACTAGAGAATAATAGCTAGAGCTACAGCTTTAGTATAATGTTCTCTGGGAGCAATTAATGGCTGAAAGGAAATATATGGGCCATACTGTCCTACATGCCTCTTAACTACCGTATACCAGCTCTTTCTTGCCTGGTTCCAACTGCTTTCTTGCTTTTGACTTCTGAATTAATTTATTGACTATGCTGCTGTGTCTCCCTTTGACTTGTGAGCAAATCTTTTGCAATTTGATTCCAGACTGTTCACTTTTGTTCTTGTTTCTCTCCTTACGTGGAAGATAATACGTAGCTTGAAAATCCTTACACTGCTTTTACAGGTAGCCCTAGTGACCACAATTTGGACTGCAACTTGGCTGATAAGCAAAGCAGTCACTGAGTGAAGCCGCAAGATCTTACTTACTATCTTTTTTTCCTTTGCTTTTACTGATCTGCGAAAGTCACAAATGCAAGGATTGTTTGCATAGTTACTTTTTCAACATCCTTGTAACTATAAACAATTGCTAAATGAGACAGTCAGTGAATGAGGATTACCTTATTTTTAAATCTGCTCATTTAATTATTTTGTTGTTTGCCTATAGATGCCATACTATCCAACTGTAAATCAGCAAATAAACCGTTTGTATTCTCATGCTACATTACAGGAGAGAAGAACTCACATTTTCAAATCTCATAGAGACTGGGCCACCACTGGATTGATCATACCTGATTACGTTTACATAAGCAGTATAAGCCGTTTGAACAAGAGACCACAGGATATAGGTAGTCATCAACTTATTGCCACAATTGAGCCCACAATTTCTGTTGCTAAGCAAGGTATTTGTTAAGTGAGTTTTGCCCCATATTACAACCTTTCTTGCCACAGTTGTTAAGTGAAACACTCCTGTTGTTAAGTTACTAACACGACTGTTAAGTGAATCTGGCTTCTCCATTGACTTTGCTTGTCAGGTTACAAAATGTGATCACTGCAACCGTCATAAATATGAGTCAGTTGCTAAGCTTTTGAATTTTGATCATGTGACCATGGGGATGCTGCAATAGTTGTAGGTGTGAAAAGCAATCATAAGTCACTGTTTTCAGTGCTACTGCAACATCGATAGGTCACTAAATAAACTGTTGCAAGTTGAGGACGACCTGTACATTCTTGGACTTTCCTTAAGGAATTTATAATGAGCAAAATGTGATAAATAGTGGCAAGTTTGTGTTTTATGTTTCATGTTCAGTAAGTTCATAAGATCAGGAACAATCCTCTTGTTATTCATCTGATATAGTGTGTTTTCAAAAGATGAATGGCAATTGTGAACTCAGCATAAGCTACTTTTTCCCTTTAGAGAGATGAAGTGAAAAAGAAAAATCTTAACCTGTTGAATTTTTACCAGTCAGGCAAGCCATTATACATTCCTGGATGCAAACTGCCATACAGCTAATAATTCTGAACTTTTTAGCCATCTGGGAGTAGATTCAGATAATTCTGATTTCCTAGAGAGAAATCTTGATGTTTTTCAGACGATAAATCATATAACATTTTACATATCAGCTAGACATTTTGGTTTGTCTAGGGAGCATCTAGAATTTCTGCGAATAAATTAGTTTCTGCCTGTTGTGTCTGTAAATGTTAATTGTAATTTGGAGAAGTTGAAACCATTCCATTCTTGCAACATTGGATAACCACCATTTTCAGAAAGGGTTAGTATTAACAAGAGTAACTCCAGTAAGTGATGAATCCTGGAGTATCTCTGAACAGTCAACCAGTCAAGGCTGAATCCCCTTTGTGCAGACTGAGAAATAACAATGCCTCTGGCTTGTCTAACTCCAAATTCTTTTATTTGCCCTTATCCAGTTTATTATCTCACACCCACAGAATCAAAGCTGTTAGAGGCTATTTAAGTTCTAGTTCAATGCATTGCTTAGTGTGGGAACCCCAATTAATGTATCTTCAAATATGATCATTAAGTCTCTTTTCTGAACTTATTCAAAGAAAGGGAACCCAATAATGCTCTGGTTAATTAGTTACATTGTCAAACTGTTCTTATTGTAATACTTAATTTTAAAAAAATTTTTTTAAAGATATCTGAAAAATTGGTAGTGTATGAATAAAATATCTTCTAATATAGTAAACCTTCTCGAAAAAAAAACACTGATGTCAAATTCAGCAGATAAGCTGAAGATACAACATTTTTTAAGTAATGACAACTTCCAATTCCAAATGCTAACTCTCCTTAATATATTAACTTACTGGTCTTTTTCACATCTATTAAAATTAATTAAATTTAGGATTATTAGAATAGGGTTGTGAAAATCAGGGTGACCACTAGATGGCAAGAAGAGAACAACTGCTGCCATCTAATGGTTTTCCAAATTTTTCACCCAAGTCTGGTAATCCTAGATTAATTAAATTGGTTCCAAAAATATTACTGGGGTGTATCTGTATGTTGCAAAACAAACAAAAAATACTTGGAAGGGAATTCGTGGAAAGGGAGACAAATCAATGAACAGAGAAAAGGCCTAATGATTAATTAGATAGTGATTAAATAGTCAATAAAATAAGTTCATCATTAGTTCAATTCAGGTAGCTAAGACTATATAGAAAATAATGTCACATAAACATAGATTGGGACACAAAGCAATTTAAGATACTTTCTCTGCTGCCAACATTTCTCCAGAATACATTTTAGAGATGTTAAATCTGGCTAATGCCCAATAAATATAAAGAAACTACAATAGTGTCTACATGCACAATCTGAAATATTAGCTGCTTAATATCTGAGGAATATACACCTAACATCACCAGGCTGTTACTGGCTTGATTCAAGACCAGTTAGGCCACAGGTCGGCAACCTGCGGCTCCGGAGCCGCATGCGGCTCTTTGAGCCTTCCCCTGCGGCTCCCAGCCTCCTCTGCCTTTGCAGAGAGAGACAGAGAAGAGAGAGGAATTGCGCTTCCCTGCTTCTCTCTCTCTCTCTCTCTCTCTCTGTGTGTGTGTGTGTGTGTTTGTGTTTTTGTGTGTGTGTGTGTGTGTGTGTGTATGTAAAAGAGAGTGGACTCACAGTGTTTTCTGAGGAGCTGAAAAGCTTACTGGGCGGAGCTCCTCCCTTTGCTGCGTCTCTGCAGGAAGCAGGAAGGGCAGGAGAGAGCTAGCTAGCCCAGCTAGGCTGACTCAGGAATTCTGGGAGTTGAAGTCCGTGAGTCATAAAAGAGACGAGGTTGTCTATCCCTTATCTTGTTGGACAACAGCTTGAAGCTTGTCAGGTGAGCAGCAGATAGGAGAGGGGGGGAGAAAGAGAGAGAGAGGGAGAGAGAGAGAGAGAGGAAAGAGAGAGAGCGGGGGAAGAGGAGTGGCAGGCAGACCAAGGGCAGAGAGAGGGAGGGAGGGAGAGAGACAGAGAGACCCTTTTGACATCTAAAATGAAGATAACATTGCATATATCCTTTTTTTACCTGTGTGTGTATGTGTGTGTGTGTATATATATATATATATATATACATACATACATATACATATATATACACACACACACACACACACACAAACACACACACACAAACACACACACACCTATAATAAAGGTAAAAAATATATGCAGTGTTATCTTCATTTTAGATATCAAAATGGTTTTGCGGCTCCCAGTGTTTTGTTTTTGGTGGGAAACGGGTCCAAGTGGCTCTTTAAGTGTTTTGGGTTGCCTATCCCTGAGTTAGGCTGTATAAAAATAATTGACTTTTAATTCAGTCACTGAATTCTAAGAATATATCCTTCTCCCCAACTATATTCTATTTGGCCACTCGGTGCTATTTATGGTTCCCATGAAAATGAACAAAAGATCTATAGCCTCTCTACCACTGACTTTTTAAAAAGGGTAGTTTATAACAAGTACCATATCATATATCATTTGGAGGCTAGAGCTGAACAAGGTAACAAATGTATTTGAAAATATGGTAAGCTTTCTGAGGTCAAGTAAATATAATATAAGCATTTCTTTAAAAAAAAAAAAAGAATCAATCCTTCTAACTGAGGCATGTTCTCCACTGTTTAGAACTCCAGGGAATATAAAGTACAGGTATTTACATCTATGAATGAAGATTTCCTATTGCCTAGGACCTCCCTTATGTTAAGAAGAATGATTGCTCATGCTTGCACCATTTATGCAAAATCTGTAGAGGTTACAAGAAATCAACAGGAATTCTAAAAGGCTAAGTAAGTATATGATTTTAGCAATTCGGCTTCAGGTCTATCAAGTAGAATTCTGATTCTACTGTTACATAAATGCAGATATTTATTCTGTTATATTGGTATCAATTCATCTTTCAGCAACTTTCCTCCCTTGGCCCTGCTTTTCTTCTTCCTACAGATTAGTGCTAAAGTATCAATGTGCACATGTTCTAGTTTGCCAACATCTGATAGAATCCCAACTTTTCCTGAGTGACATTGTGAACATATTTACTAGAAGACATGACAAATGTACTATATTTATGTCTACCAAAGAATCAACATGCAAAAAGTGAAATTCTCTCATTGAATTAGTAACCTGTGATTCAAGTTTGGAAAATACTTATAACTTCCAATACTAAACATCAAAGTCAAGCTTCACCAGTACTTTGGGAATAAATGAAACTGTTTAGGATGCTTCCTTTTGTCAACATCTGGTAAGTGCCCCACCAATCACTGGAAACATAACCTCGGCAATATTCATTCTTATGTTAAGATAAGGTCATTTTCATGAACTTTTGCTAAGGGATGTCTGTTTAATTTTATTCTTGCTTACTAAAATACTAATGTAACAAGATGAAAAAAATTCAACTTTTCTAAGCACCTTAGAGAAGCACCTTTGTAGGGTTGATTGATCCTCTGTGGGAATTCCCTAAGCATGGTTGTAGGGTTTACAATTCCCCAATTATGAACTTACCATTATTAAATGTTATACAACATATTATCACTACTATCACAGCAGGTGGCAGCACCTCACTAGCTAATCACTAGAAAGTAAATCAGAATCAACACTACCATGCTTAGGTTGGAGCCCATCAGAAAATGCTAGGATTTTTTTTAAAAAAACTAGAAGGCTGCAACTTCCATATGGAAAACACTATAATACCCACCTTAACCTTACATATATAGGCTTTTGAGGTAAAATTTAGTCTTAATATCTTCTCCATCCTCTGCGTTAAGATTCTGAAGCTGTTGAACTTAAAAGATGCTTGCTAGGATTCATAAAATATCTTCCACAGAGTGCTAATACACAAATGGTTTGTCTGGATTTGGGTCAGCGTGTTGTGTGAACCCCACCACTGTGTTTTTTTTTATTACAGATGAAACATAGAATAAAGCAGCTTTTCCAATAAGTTATGATATAAAGAAACAAATAAATAAATAAAATATCCCTATGCCACTGCATATTTGAGAAGCACACCTATGAACGTTTAATTCACATATCTGAAAAGTGAATGTGATGAATGTATCTATCCTCTAGATAATTCATCTGAGAACTGGAATTGATTTCACTTTTTAAAAAAAAGGTAAATTTGGGTCTACTGATGTGTGGAACAGCATTTGGATATTCAAGGTAAGTATCGTTTCAAAACTAAATCCAGTAAATGGAAGTAGCAAGGCAAGGTACAATCCAGAGGATCAAGAGCACTCAGTCAAGATAATAAAGGCCTGATTCATTTTGCTAAGTGGGCTAGAAAAGCAAAGGAAGGTTACTTAATATAACATGCTTTACTGGGTCATGAGTAAAGCCATCGTATCATGATACAGTGACCCAGAAACCTAACTCAGAGGGGGTTAGCTTGACCTAAAACCACACCAGAGCTGTTTGGAGAGAAATCAATCCACTATTGTGATGGAACTATCCCTTTCCCAGAAAGCAATGCTAAAATAAGAGTGCTAAAATAAGGCTAAAATAAAATAAGGAGGTATAAAATGGTATAAATTCCAATCAGGCCTCTACAATAGTAAAATTAACAACAGACAAAAAAGTCTGAACATGGCAGTACCTGGAAACAGCAGAATAGAAAAAAAAAACTGGAGAACATAACAAAGTACAAAGACCTGCCAAGTAAAAATAGAATGACTCTGGCAAAAGAAAGCAAAGGTAATACCAATTGTAATAAATGCCTTGAGTGCAATGCCAGAACAACTGGAGCACCTCTTGAAGATCATCAGCATTGACAAATTCGTTGTCAGTCAATTGCAAAAGAGAGCTTTACTCAAAACAGCTTGCATCCTGTGATGATACAGCTAACACCATCAAACATCAACATCTGCCTATCCCAGGCCCTTGGGAAGGAATTGATAGATGGATAAAAATGCCAAATGCAGTCTGAATTTCTGGTTGACTGTGCAATAAACCATTAAAAAAAAAAAACCTGGGAGGAAGGCACTAGAAAAGGGGTAACTTCCAAAGCATCCTTTGCAGCAGTTCGTTAGACAAAGAAAACAACTGCCCCCTCCCCAGTGGATCATCAGGACTTAATGAACAGCAGACTACGGTGTATTAAACAGGAGAGAAAAAAAACTGGTAATTATTTCATGCAAACACAGTCAATGTATCACTATATTCAGAGACTGCATAAAGCTATGTGGTTCACTTGGCTTTATCTTCTTGTTTGAATCTAGCTGCTGTAAAGTCATACTTTATGGGTAATGCTATCTAAATATTCATCAGATCATGTCTTAGTCAACACAGCTATCCATGAGTTAATTTCAATGGAAAACCAGTTTGGTGTAGTGATTAACGCATTAGGCTAGAAACCATGAGACCATGAGTTCTAGTCCTACCATAGGCATGAAGTCAACTGGGTGACCTTGGGCTAATCATTTTTTCTCTCAGCTCTAGGAAGGAGGCAATGGCAAACCACTTCTGAAAAACCTTGCCAACAAAACTGCAGGGACTTGTCCAGGCAGTCTCCGAGAACTGGACACAAATGAACAGGAGAAAAAAATAGCAATGGGCCAAAATGGGGGAAAATAAATAGAAGTGGAAAAAAAATGGTATCACATTATGCTTGAATCCTGATTGGGAGAAAAGAAGCTTGGATCACTTTTATATTGGCAATTCCAAATCTTGATGGTATATATGATGTAATTTTTGATCTCGCATAAAGACGGATCCATTCTAACTACTGTCTTAATTCTGCAGTAGCCATACCGAAAATGCAAGCTTTTACACTAAAATGCAAGCTTTTACACTGAGTTATCCAAGTGCTGTCATAGTCTTTACCCAAAAATTATCCCAAAACTTCATGATGGACATTTGCAATGATTCATGCAATATAAGCAGTAAAGTAAGAATCGCAGGAAAATGCCTTATTGGTCGTCTGGTCCAATAGAAGCGGTCCCTGACTTAGGAACATAATTGAGACGACCAGATTTTATGAGCCTTTTTGTGAATCCGCCATCGATGATGCTTGTCGAAGGCTCACTGGGAAGGCTGCAAATGGTTAAAATGTGACCCCTGGATGCTGTAACTGTTGTTAAGTTGATGCCAGTTGCCAAGTGCCCAAATTTTGATCATGTGACCATGGGGATGCGACAATGGTTGTTAAGTGCAAGGACCAGTTTTTCATTGCTGCTCTAACTTTGAACAGTCATTAAATAAATGGTTGTAAGTCAAGGACTATCTCTATTACATAAGATATGCCTTTATAACAGCTATTCAGGGTTTCATATTGTCCAGTTGTACCTAGAGTCTAGATTTAGATCCAAGTTTTTCTGCATGTGAATCATGCTGTTGTTTTTAACATAGAGTTATCCTATACCAGGGGTAGGCAACCTTGGCTCTTTTATGACTTGTGGACTTCAACTCCCAGAATTCCTGAGCCAGCATGGCTCAGCTTGGAAACCTCTCCCTTCCCCTCAGCATGGCTGGCTCAGGAATTCTGGAAGTTGAAGTCCACGAGTCATAAAAGAGCCAAGGTTGCCTATCCCTGTCCTATACCCTTTCCTCCTCCCAGCCTTTCATTACACATTCTTCAATAAGGGACAATTCCACAATCCCAAACATCCAAGAATGTCTTTCATAAAGCAAGATTTCTACCATATTTCTAAGCATCCTAATGGGTGTCTCCCAAGGGGCTGTTCCATTCTGGTTATGTATGAAATCTTCTTTTGCCTGCTGATCGTGAAGGAAGAAAGTCTCCTTAATTTAGTACTACGCCTGAAATGTTCAGCAACAGCGCTGAAAAGTTGCTATAGTACTGGAAGTACTCACAGAATCCTTCATTTAAATGAAAATTTTATTTGCTATTCCAATTCAATCCAATTTAATCCAATCACTATCATATGAGATTGATTTTGTTTTAAATATCTGTAATTAATCTTTTAAGTTAAAAATCCATTTAAGGCATCTTCCAATTTAGACACATATAACGTATCTTTCAAAACCTTTGAAATCATACCAGCAATATACAAAAATCTTGCCTAGTGTTCACATTATACATACATACATACATATGTAATTATTGAAAGTATCCACAAAAGGCTAGTGATTAGAATACAAATGCATTTTTTTACTTTATATCACAATGCTTTTTTCCACTCCATTAAACTGACTCTCATATGGGACTTATGAGGCAACATTCCTAGTGTCTCCTAACATATTTTAGACAGCAAAGCCAAAAAGATTTCAGTGTGTTAAGCCACTGCCAACAATAAACATTATAGATCTTCATATACCAAAAGTCTATCCCTTATAGAGTTACGAAGAGTCTGCTTGATTTCCCAAGCACCGCAAAAACAATCACACTGCCAGAGATCATCTCTGCATCTGGTGAGATTATTAATATAATAAAGCCAGGAATGAGTTATAAAATATAGGATGTTTCCAACAACGTCCATTGGATAATAACACTTAGACTTACCTTGAAAACCAAGAAGTAAATTGTGTTGTGGCTGACAGTTTGATTTGATTGCGGCAGGATATAATTGTGATAAACAGAATAAATATAAAGGAATATTGCAAAGAAGTAATTTCTCTAAAATTAGTTTTTAAAAGATCTGTTTATTAGAAAGGACTCTCTGTCTCCCAAAAACCTATGCAGCTCTGAAAAACATTAATGGATAAATGTAACTATGTTACCATAACACAGCCAAGGAAATTGTTCTGTTTAAATTGGATTTAAAAAGAATGACCTAATTTTAGTCTATCACAAGAACATATGTGGTTTCTGTACAAAACAAAAGGCTACCAGACTTTCATGCTCCATCAAGTACTATGTCCAGATTGCAGTTCTTATTGGAAAAACATAATGAATGGTGTTTAAACATCTTAATTACCAGAAACAATTCCACATTTATCAGCAATAAGTCTAGTTTAGTCAGCTATGCCCTTTCCTTCTACCCGTTTGGATTGTGTTCTTCAAAATTAAAGAATGTCTGGAGTAAAGAAGTACATTCAGCAAAGTCAAATCAATAAAGTCTCAGTAAAATCTAAGGCATTATTCACCAAAATTAGATTTTGTTTCCAACTGGTCTGCGATAGATCCAAAATGTTATAGATATAAGGCACTATTCAACGAGATGCCTATCTATGCTCATGTACAGTCGATGCATCTTAAGGTGCTGGAATATACTATTTGTAAGATTGTGCAATACAAAGAATTGGAACAAGGACATAATGATTTTTCTATCTGCAAATTCAGTATTAAATCTCTGACTTAATCCCAGTTTTAAATACCTTCATTTTTCAGAATAAGTGCTGTCTTCAGGAAAACAGCACTTAAAAATACCTTCTATAAAGACTATATAAAAGGGTTTTTCTTGTCTCCCGAGAGACAGATCGCCCTCAAATCAAGCCCAATTACTGGTGATGGCATCCATTTCAGTTATACTATTTTAAATCCTAATTTGCCTCCTATGATAAGAACTGTAAAACAAGCACTTATATATGCCAAAATGCTGATGTTTAGTAACAAGGTAAAATTCTTCTAAAGTTCATTATGCATCTAGCAGAGATCAACAGGAACTATGTATCAAGATTTACTCATCCAATAAAAGCCTGATAAAATCCATAAATAAATGATGGAAAAGAATCAATTTGGTTTTTTGGGGGGGGGGCACAAGTCTTTTGACAGCTACAGCTAACTCCAAAAGCCAGATAAGCTGTAAATCTTCTCACTTTGTCAAACATCAAATATTTTAATTTAAAAATATTATTCATGGAGAAAAAAAGGAAGTAAACACATGATGCTTTTCTTTCCCAAATGAAACACAGGACATTTTATTAGACATCAAATTATATGGAGAGAGAGGGGGGGGAGAGGGAGAGAATGACCTTGTGGACAAATCGGGGTAAAATGCAAGCAAGGAAAAGGGAGTTTGGCCTCACGTAGCTAGTCAA